GAGGCCCTGACTGCAGGAGAGTTGGGGAGGGAGGGCCCTCCTCAGTGAGAGGTACTCAGGACAAAAAACATGCACAAACATTTTTCTATTCAGGGAAAAGTTAGACCTGGAATGTTATGAGCTTTTTCAAATATTTCACTTTCTATACTGCTCTAATTCCCACTTGGTAGCCACATCAGCACAAATCTACAACCCCAACAAAACAACCAGGAGAACACCAACCCAGACAGTCCCACTGTGATTTAAGGAAGATTCAGATGTGGCCTCAGGTCTAAAACAATTCATACCTCACGCGGTACCATGAACACAGATGTAATTAGTTCATTACTCTAAGACTGGTTCCACTCAGGGGCCAAAGTGGCAGGGACAGTCCCAGACGCCACAACCCAGAGTGACAACCTTCTTTCCGTCCCCTTGGTAAAAGACAATCTTTCCCCCATGTCTCCAGCAGGCTTCCTGTCAGCCAACTTCACCGGAATTGGAATCTTCATTCTTTTCACTTATCTCACATTGCCCTAAAACCTGCTATGTAGCAGAGAATGACCAAGAACCCTTGATCCACCCACCCACACCTTTCTTTAGAGTACTGGAATTACAGCCTCTGCCACCAAGCCTCACTCATGGGTGCTGGGGATTAAACCTCGTGAATGCTGTGCAAGCACTCTACCAACTAAGCTCCATCCCCAGTCCTTGGGCTTCTCAATGTTAAAACAATTCGCCAGACCAAGAAAATGGATTGACCTAAACCGAGAGTGGTGAATTCTACATCTCAGCCTGTGTGGTGAATTCTGCCTCTCCTGCCCATGTCCAAGTCACCTGGACAAAACGGGCTCAGTGGCAGGAGAGTCTCCTGGATCAAGAGAGCGGCTGAAGAAGCACTTCCCAGGTGGCCTTCCCTCCCACTTCAGTCAACCTGCACTGATCCACTAACACTCAAGTGACAGAGAACTGAAATTCTCTCCAGCCCTCCAACTCGGCAAAATGTGTAAGGGCAGCGTAAGAAATTTTCCCAAAAGAACGTCTCTCAACCAGTATACGGAAAGAAAGGGGTTTTTACTGTTTGCCTCACTGAAACAAAGCACAAGCCACTAAACCACAAAGGTCTAGAAATATCAAACCCTAGCCTGTGCAGACCTATTCCAGAAGAAAGCTCAGAATGAGCGAGGACCCTCTGGTCCTTCACTTGTACAGGATGGAGACGGGGCTCTCACAAAGCCAGACAATACAGGTTTACTGCAGAGCACCTCATGTAACCAAGGAGTGATCACCGATGGCTAGGACTGTTTGCTGGCGCTGTTTATCCTACAGGTCAAGCATTCTGTGTAAATCACAAGCACCTAAAACTAGGCATCTCCTGGAAAGTGCACAGTCGTTTCAACTGCTCTGAAAGTGGATGCTGGCCATTCTATGGAAGGGGAGGAATGACAAAAGCAAGAACTAAAAAGCCATTTGAACAAAGAGTCCATTGAAGTGAGTGGATGATCTCTCAATCTCCCACAGAAGTCACTGACTCTCCTGCTCTTGAGTTCCTCCCAATCCAACCACCCCAGGCCCCGTGCTTTTCCAGCCCATCCTACACACACACACACACACACACACACACACACCCCACAGCCTCTAGTCTAACCCATCTCTCTCCTCTTATGTCAAGCTTCCGTCAAAAGCCTTTGGCTTCTCCTTTTCCCACTCAACACCTTAATCTATAATCAGAAACTGACCTTCCCATTCCTGTCAGTCTGCTCTGACACGAAATCTCCCTTCCAGCCAAACTGGCCACATCATTCTTCCCCCAGCACTGCAAGTGTTCCGGCTTCTCCTCAGCTGTTTCCAATCCGTATATAAAACGCCACTGCGTTCTAAAACTCCCAGCTGTCTTCCCCTGCTGTAGCTTACCACAAACTTGGTCCTGACACCACTGGGATATTTACTGTCACTTAATCGTTTTACTCCCTTCAGGTTCTGTTTTTGTTTTGTTGTTGTTGTTTCATTTTTGTATTATGTGTGTCTGTGTGGGGTTATGTGTGTGCAAATCCAAGTGCCATGGAGGCCAAAGGTGTCAGATCCCCTGGGAGCTGGAGTTACAGGTACTCGTGAGCCATCTGACAGGAATGCTGGGAATCGAACTCTGGAAGTGCAGTAGACCCAGCTCTCCTGGCCCCCCACAGTTTAGTTTCTGAAGATAGGGTCTCACTTGGTAACCCAAAGTAAACTCAATCTGCAATCCTCCTGCATCGGCGCCCGGAATACTAGGACCGCAGGGGTGCACCTCCATAGCCCAGGCTTGGCTGGTATTGTTTCGTATACTTTATTTCAAGAACTGAGCACAGTACAGATAGTTCAAAACTGTTCCCCAGGCTGAAGTGAATTCACTGGAAAAAGCACACACAGGGGCAGGACTTCTCTATGGTGCCCACACAGCATCAAACTGTGAGCTCTACTTACTGCTGCCATGGAATAGAACTCACCAGGAAGCCTCCAGGCCTCCAACTTCCTTAAACACTATGGAAGAATTCAAAAATGATTCAAGACGTTCAAATGACAAGCCAATTGTCTCCTTGCAGGACAATGAAGAACAGAAATCATTTAAACACATAATCCAAAGAAAAGCCCAAAAGGCCTTGTTCTGTTAACCAAATTATAAACTATCAAGAAACCGAGGCCGTCTAGCAATGCTCACCAGCTTGATGGCTGTTCTGTCTGCAGACCCTTGCCCTAATGTCCTCTCCTGGATCTCTAGACTCCAAACTTACGGACATTTTGCGGACAGACAACTGACTAAGTGACCTCACGGCGAGTCTCCAAATGCTGAGGAGTGACTGATGCTGCCAAGAAGTGCAGCAAGGGAGCACGGTAAGAATCGCATGACCCGACCGACCAAGACCCCGCCGCAGAGAACTAACCTAGCTCTCCTTACTTAAGCTCGGCCCTCGCCATCTCTGCTAAGAAGCAGAGGCCAACTTCCATGGGCCAGGTGGGGAAAGGCCAGCGTCCTTCAAACTTGCCTAAAGAGCATATACGAAAGCTTTTATTATTGTGGGAAAAAAACTAAAGCTGAAAGATGAAGCTAGAAAAGATACTACTGTCTACCTGCTCTCCTAAATAAGATAATCACCCATTTTGTGTCTCATCTTTATCCACAAGCACAAGGATCAAGACAAGGAGTCACAAATTCCAGAAGATCTACCTTCTGAGAAGGAAAGGTAACATCCCACCCACCACCCCAACCGCAACACACACACACACACACACACACACACACGCACGCGCGCATCGGCTGCCCCAGGAACATGAGCCATGCTTCCTGCCAGCAGAGCAGCTAACATGCAGTCACAGAAATAGCTTCCTATCCATGGCCAAACTGACTTTGCCATCTGCCCCTCTCCTCACGTCCCTAGCTTCAGGGGAAACTACTAGCCAACCAAACAGGCTGGAGGGAGACGACTGAAACCTGAACCCCCAGAGCCCACATAAACACGGAAAGGGAGCTCAAACTCCACAGAGCTGGCCTCTGAACCCACTTGTGCACAATGGCACAAGTATGTCCCTGTCTAATGATGCTACTTCACACTGGGCCAAAGAAATCTGAACACAGACACTTCACAGCCCCTGGCTGGGTCCCACCCCTCTCACTGTCCACCTTCACTCCTCCACATTCACAGACTACCCTCCTGTTTCCCACTCATCACAAAGTAACTCCCAATCCCAACTCAGAAACACTGGAGAGGTCACAGAACCAAAGGAACCTTGGAGATGGTCCAGAGAGGTTGAGTGACTTGTTTCCCAAATTACAGGGACGGCTCCACTAAATTCTTCCCATTAAAAAATATTTCAACTAATTCATTAAGTGCATATTAACTGGGCCAGGCACTTGGATGGGAAGATGAGAAGGCATGCTCAGTATGGTTTCATCTTCCTAGATGCAAAACGGTGTGGTGAGAATATACATGGGGTATTTTTCCAGAGGTGACATCTACAAACACACGGAATAAACTCCCAAGGAGAGCCGTTATTGAACCAGGGAACCTACGCAACACTGAACCAAGAGGCTGGGTAGTAGCCCTGGAGCTGGGCCCCAGGGCGGTCAGGTTTTTAAGGAGAAAGGAGATGCTCACAGTAACTCAAGGAAGGGACGCAGGGTTCCAGTGTGGCCTGGATGCCAGCACCTGGCCCTGGAGAACTTCTCCCCATTTGGAGAGCATTACAACTGTTTCTGCACGAATTTTAACTGGCCCTACTTCTCGAGGTTTTGTTTGTTTGCTTGCTTGCTTGCTTGTTTGAGTATGGGATTGTTTGTTTGCTTGCTTGCTTGTTTAAATATGGGATCGGACCGAGTCGGAAGGCGTCAAGCCTGAAGAGATTATAATTTCCTACTCACAGGCACTGCGGGCCAGAACCAGGGGGCAGTCTGCCCACTGACCCTTTCCATCCCCAATCTTTGAACCCGCCTCAGCACAGGACAGAAGGAATGTGCAGAAGGCAGCACAAAGCCAGGTAGACTTTCTGGTTTAGCAGACGAGGGACCCAAGTCAGGGTTGTCGCGCAAGAGAGAAAGGGAACGCATAGGAGGTGTAAGTTAAGGGAATTTTGAAGAACTCAACTACAGGCAGGGTCTCCAAGAATCACCAAGAAAGTTACTTGGAAAGGTTATGAGACAAAACTGTCGAACTGATTGATGTCTCTGTTTTGAGGGAAACTGGGAGCAGCGTTAGGGCGCACGAAAACCTGACTCCGGGGCCGAGGCGTGCTCCGCCGGGCCAGGCGGGAGCCCCGGGGCAGCTCCCACGCAGGGCTCTAGCCCCCGCGCCGCCGAGGGGCCGGGCGGGAAGAGGGACGCGCCCCAAGCGCCTGGGAGAGGAATGTCCTGGAGCTTATCCCCCAGAGAATCTCCTTTTCCTCCAGCCCAGTCTCGGGGCTCGGAGCCATCCCACCCGGGCCGGGAAGACGCTCCTCCCCGCCTTCCTCGCCACGCCACAGCGCGAACGCGAGCGGGCCCCGCTTACTCTTGGTGGCGGCGATGAGGTTCTTCCCGTCCTTGATGAGCTCTTTGATGAACTTGTTGGTCCTCTCGAGCTCCGCTTCGTGCGCGCGGATCCTCTCCCGGAACCACGGGCTGTCGAGGTAGCAGTCGCTGAACTCCAGGGGCTGCAGCCCCATGACTGCAGCGGGGCGCGCGGCGCAGGCCGAGCTGGGGCTCCGGGCGGCGGCGAGGTGCGGGGCTCCGGGCGGCGGCGCGCGGCTAGCAGAGCTGAGCGCGCGGCGAG